AAAAAAAATTTTATTGGAGGAGATTTAAATAGACATGTTGGTAGAGAGGTAGATGATTTTAAAAGCATTCATGGTGGCCATGTGTTTGGAATGACAAATGAAGGTGGTAAGATCATATTAGATTTTTTTTAGCTTATGATTTTTTAATACTCCAGTGGAAGATAAGATTAGAGAGAGTCGCCTTGGATGTTTTGGTCACATTAAACGGAGGCATTCCAATGTCTTGGTTAGGAAAGTTGAGGTATTAGATTCGACTTATGTTAAGAAAGATAGAGACAGACCTAAAAAGACTTGGTTAGAAAATATTATAAATGATCTTTCTTTATTAGATTTAAATGAGAATTTGACTTTTAACCGGACACAATGACGAAAAAGGATTCATGTAGCTGACCCCACATAGTGGAACAAAGGCTTGATGTTGTTGTTGTCATTGTATGATTTTTTAATAGCTAATACCTTATTTAAGAAAATAGATGAGTATCTTCTCACTTAGAAAAATGAATATAGTAAAATGCAGATTGATTATTTTCTTATAAAAAAAATAGATCGTTTAGATTGCAAAGATTGTAAAGTTATTCCGAGTGAATTTATGTACCAAACATTGATTATTAGTTTTGAACTTTAAGATAAATGAGCATAAAATAAAAAAATAAAATAAAACAATTTTATAGGATTAAATGGGGGCATTTAAAAAATATTAACAAAAATATTTTTGAGAGTAAGATTTTAGATCTTAAGATTTTGTAAATGCATGACGATGCTAATATTATGTGGGAAAAATGGCTAATGATATTAAGAATATTGGAAAAGATGTGCTTGAAGTTTCGAGTTAAACAGAGGACTTTCGATGTCCAAGTTAGAAAGTTGAGGTATTAGATTTGACTTATGTTAAGAAAGGTAGAGGTAGACCCAAAAAGTCCTAGTTAGAAAATATTAGAAATGATCTTTCTTTATTAGATTTAAATGAGAATTTGACTTTTAACAGTACACAATGGCGAAAAGGATTCATGTAGTTGACCCCATGTAGTGGGACAAAGGCTTGATGTTGTTGTTGTTGTGATTATGATGAATTTTTAACGCTGTAAATTAAACCCATTAGAGAATGGTATGTTCGCCTTCTGAGATGATATACCTTTCATAATGATGCATTCAATTTCAAAATTGAGATTTTAGAAGTTAAACTCCCATAAATAATTAACCTTTTAAAAAAAACTTTTCAAACAAACACACTCAGCTCATCTATCACTGGTATGTGAAACTTATCTGACACAATTTTCTTATTTACCGCCCTGTAGTCAACACAGAACCTCCAACTCTCATCCTTTTTCTTAACTAGTAATATTGGGTTAGAAAAAGGACTAACACTGGGCCTGATAATTCTTACCTCCAGCATCTCTCTAATCAATTTCTCAATCTCATCCTTCTGAAATTGAAGATAGCGGTAGGGCCAGATGCTGATAGTTGACACACCTCTCAAGGTTATAGCATGCTCCTGCTCCCTTGGTGGTGGCAATCCCTGAGGTAGTTGAAAATTTTTGCTGAATTGCTGAATCAACAGATGTACTGAAAGAGGAATATCCACTCCTTCCTCCAATCTATAAGCCCCTCCATCCTGTGCAACTCCACCAAAAATCCTTCCCCCACCTTCTGTATACTTCTCACTATGGTTTTAAGAGATACCATGTCTTTGAAGAGCCCTGCATCTCCCCTTATCACTACCCTTCTCCCATCCACCACAAGCTCCATCATTAGTGCCCCCCAGTTGACCTTGGTTTCACCTAAGGTATGTAACAACTTCATCCCCAGGATAACGTCAGTGCTCCCTAACTTTAGTTGGAGAAAATCCTCTCATCTGAATCCCTTGCATGATCAACACCACTCCTCTAAAGATTCCTTGGCCTTTCTCCATCTTCCCTGTACCCATCATCACCTCTTAATAACCTGCATTCACCAATTCCACTCCCAATTGGTTGACGACCTGGGTAGAAATGAAATTGTGGGTAGCCCATTGTCAATCAACACCACCACCTCTCTGTCCTCTATCCCCCCTTTCATCATGGTATGATTTGGAGTGAATCCTATCATTGAGTTCAGGAAAACCTCTGCCATGTCTAGATGTAGCTTGTCCTCCATCTCTCCCTTTAACTCACTCTCACCTCTCTCCTCAGCTTCTTCATCATCACAGACGGTGAGAACCTGAAGAGTTCAGTCCCTACACCTGTGCCATGGAGTATACTTCTTATCACATCTGATGCATAGTCCCTTTGACCTCTTCTGTTGCATCTCCCTCTCTATCAGCCTTTTGAAGTTGCTCCCACTTCCTCTTCTTATTGGCTTTTCCCTGGGGGTCTCTCGAAGTTGGCTTGCTGTAGGCCCCTTGGGTGCTAGAAAAGTAGTTGTCATTCTATAAGAGCCACCTGAATTGCTGCCTTTGGCTCCCTTCTCCTGGTACATCTGATCTTCCACCAGTTGTGCCAGCTCCATTGCCTCTCCCAAATCACGAGATCTCATGACCATCATTGCGGCTTTGATCTCGGATCTGAGTCCCTTCCTGAAGTTACCCTTCAAAGTAGTCTCTGATAGTCGCTTCACCCGACTGGCCAATTACTCAAACTGCTTGCGGTAGTCTACCACTGATTCTTCCTGTAGTAGGGCAAAGAATTGCTCATAGAAGTCTTCTCCAATGTTGGTTTGGAAACGTTCGAATAAGCATTCATTGAACTCCCTCCAACTCGTTATGGGTCTCCTCTAGTCCCTCCACTGGTACCACGACAGTGCCTTCCCCTCCAAACATAAGCCCACTGCTGTCAATTTCTCCCCCCTCCATCAGCCCATTTACGATGAAATATCTCTCCACCTTGTAGATCCATTCATGTGCATTCCCCCCTTCAAAAATAGGCATCTTCAGCTTCCTCACCTTGATCTTCCTCGTTTTCCTGTATTCCTTCATAATTTTTCCTCTCCAAAGTGCTTGACTCCCTCCAAGTCTCCCGATCTTCCCTTCCATGCTCATACCCAAACCCCTATTTACTTTCTCCCCTCTTTCCTTCAAAATCGGCACCCTTCCTACCATAATCCCCTTCTTTTCTCTCCAACCAGCGCCCCTTTGTTCATCCTCCCCATAACCACACCTCTCTTCAAATTGCCCACCCCTCTCCTCAAGGATCTTCACATTGTTTTCCCTCATGCAAATTTCAAAATTCTTGTTTCTTCCTTATGGTCCCCTTGCCTCCGATGCTGCCATTTGATTTTGATTCTTCAATATCTTGATTGGAAACCCTGTCTTCCACGGATGAAATTTGGTTCTCCACCGTTGCTTTTATTTGACTCATTTCCCCTTCAAGTTTTTCCTCCAGTGCATCCACTTTCTTGGCTGCCATTAATCCCCGAATTTTTGTAGATTAAAAAATTTTGATCTCGACCCTAAAAAATAGCAATTTCCCCTTTCATCGACCCAGGAACAGCCGCTAAAATTCACAATAACTGCCCCTCAACGGTCCCAAAATTAGCTTTGATGCCAATTTGTTAGTAAATATTTGAAGATCTCAAGTAAACCCTAAGAAGAGACAAAAATAACGAGAAAACTCCATTAGTTTGAGGAAAATCAGAGGAAAACAATCATTTTTATTGAGAAAAAACAACTAATGGGAGAAAACGACAAGATACAAGTGATCCTCCAGAGAGGATGATCAATCTCTCCCAATCTCTAGATGTATCTAGAGCCCCAGACACCATGGCAAGAACTCCCAAAATCAGCCACAAACAAAGCATTACCCTAACACTAATTTTCCCCACTTACTTAAAGCATGCAATTAATCGTTTAAGCCAAATAACAAATCAGCTCTTGCCACCCCCTCCTTTGGCTCCAAAACATTTGAATTTGAATTAGTGGGCCCTATCTCCCTCTCCCTCTCCCTCTGTCTTGCCAGCTTCCTACCTTACACTTGAGCCGGCCCTTGGCAAGGGGCCGATTGGACCGGTCCACTAGGGACCGGTCTGACATAATTCCTAATTAGTTGATGAATACTCAAGTCTAATGGTCAAGTTAATGGGTGAGTAGCCCTGTTAGGTAACTTCGCGAGTCATCGGGCAGTAGGCGCCTTGCCGGTCTTTCAACAACTCAGAGCATCAATGAGTTTCAAGTTGTAAGTGGTTCAAGTAGGTTCATAAGCAACAACCTGTTAAATCCAGTGTAGGCTCTCATATATGCTTGATTAATCTAACCCTAATGAATATGAGTTTACTAATAATGTGAGATTATATCTTAATCAATAATCTATAATCATTTATTGTGAAAAAATCTCTCCATTTGAAAGCTCATCAATAAAGTATCATTTCAAATCTTTGCCGCACTTAATTTGTGTTATGAGTTCATTCTTTTTCTTTCTGCAAGTGCATTCCCTTAACGAGTTTTCTTGGTTGTATTAATTTTAAAATCGGCTGGTCCTTAATAGTCAACAATAGACTAATACTAGTGGGATGCTCTGTTGCTTAGGTAAGAAAAGGCTATAGTCCCCTTGAAAAGTATTTTAAAAGTACTTTACAAGAGAGTTAATCCGTTTAAAAGTTCAAACAGCTTGATGGAGGATGCCAGCTTAAAAATAAAATAATAATAAAAGGAACTTGAAAAATATTTTCTAAAAAAAAGTAGTGCAGTCAGCTGCGCTGAACCTTAATTAAACTAAGCATGCACCAAAAGCAATGTTTTTAGGCAATATCACAATATTCTGAGACTTCGTTGTTGGCCATAATGTCCTTTCCTCTTCTTTAATAAAGCAGTTGAGATAAGATGCAGTTGAGATAAGATGATGCTTCTTTTCTATCTTAACAATTGAAGAAATCATGTAATCATCTTTTTTAATCTTGAAAATGGAAAGAATCATGAAAACACTTTGTATAAGATTATCCCAAATAACCTCAGTGGTTGAATTTGTTTCAACGTTTTTCTTTTACATCTTGGAAGATATTCTATATTTTATTTTGTTTTTATGTTCATTCAGTTGAGGGTGCGAAAACCTCTGAGTTCAAATCGTTTAAGAGATTATTGGAAAAAACTGCACATAAGCACTATTTTGATAATGCTGCCAAATGTGATATCAAACTGAAAGAAGGCAAAGCAATGGACTGCAAGGAAGGTATGCTCAATGCTGATTCTGTGCTTTCCTCTCTGGAAATGTAGGACATTCCTGTTAAGACTTTTGACTAAATCTGTCCATGTAGTCCGACCTTAACACAATCAGGGAAAGTTTGAAGTTGACATTCCATTGAATTTATTTATGATGGTGTTTCAAAGATATTGAGTCTCTTTTGCAGCTTCGAGCAATGCCATCTCAAGTAAATCTGATATTAGAAAGTCATCATTGCCCGTACAAAATGTTTCATTTATTGTGCAAGACTGCTTCTCTTCACCTAAGCAGGTTTCGCAGAAACATGGTGAGCATACATAGAGTAATTACACTGCTGATCCTAGCATAACTGAAAGGGTTGAATTTTTTATGAACTGTAAGAATAAAGCATGCATTAATTTAATGGTATGTCTTCTTTGCAGAATTTAAAAACAAAGCTGAAAGAAATAATGGTGCGATTAGATCAGTGGCACTTACAACGACCACAACAATGGATCGACTGTTTCATCCTTCTTCCCAAATAGTTGGGAAAATTCGTGGTGGTGGACATTCAGGTAAATATATCTAATTTTTTTTTTTCGGTTCCTTTCCATGAATAAATTCATCCTGATAGCTATCATATTTATATTTTGGACATTCACCTCATATTTTTTTATTTTATTACAAGTGTTTCATAGTAAAATGGATGGATTTGAAGTTTGCAATGGGCCGCATATATATAAAATATATACTACAGAAAACCGTCCATCTTTTGATTATGAAATAAACTAGAAGATAAGCTGGCTAATAAGGAATTCACTGGCTTAGCATGAGGAGTTTGCGACTGCAAATTCAGAAAAGGGTGCTTCGCTCAAAGAAATGATCCTAATAGAATGACTTCATTATTTTACAATACTAGTAAGCATAATCATAGCTCGTCGTCACACGTCCCCACGACCCTGAAGCAACTACTAGCTAAGTCTTATAAAATTGTGAAGAAACGAAAACAAGAAGGTATGCTCACTTAGATTCAGTTTCAATTGGAATTTTGATTTTCAGATTCTCTGGCAATTATGCGTCTCCTGTTCGCCTTGTCTGCAACTAAATTGCAGCACCACGACACCGGGCGGACCTAAATAGTAAGTGCCCTCCCCAAACTTCCCTCGCGAATATGTATGCATGATTATTTCAATTGGATTACATCAAGGGTCATCTTTAAGCCCATATCTTTTTTGCTTTAGTCATGGATGTCCTTACTAGACATTTGTAAGAGGATTTATTTTGGTGTATGCTTTTTGCTGATGATGTTTTTCTTGTTGATAAGACTAAAGAGGGAATTGAAGGTAAACTTGTTCTGCTCAGGAAAATGAAATATTGTGCTACAATATGAACCCTGCTTTCGCAAGCCTAAGGTTCCATTTTTCCTGAGGTGGATTGAATTCTAATTTAACCAGATTTTCCATAATGACCGGTATTAGGGTTTATTTAGTTATGAGGTTCCACTTCCTATGAGCGCAAGCCCTTATAGCTAATTACCCCTTCTTATGCGTAGAAGTGTACTCTCAATTAAGGATGAAAGTATATTTAGTTGTGCGTAGAAGTGTACTCTCAATTAATGATGAAAATATATTTAGTTGTGCAAGAAGTGCAAAAGTGTACAAGTGTTTTAGTCTTAATAGTGGGGGAGGAAGGTACACCTGATTAAGATCCCATGGTTTCATCATCCCGGGTATACAGTAGGGTGTAGTTCTGTCAAGGGGATGTTTTACAGTCTCTAGGAAAAAATATATTTTCCAAGTCTAATTTTCAAATTGCTTCATATTAGACCTGTCAACAATTGATCCGACCCGAAAACCCGATCCGAAACCGACCCGAAATTCTCGGGTTCGGGTCGACCCGGATAAATAACGGGTCGGGTTCGGTTCTGCAATTTCGACCCATATAATTATTCGGGTCGGGTCCGGGTTGACCCGGAAACCCGATTAAAACCCGAATTGACCCGCGACTTGAAATATTTAGGGCATCTGTCGAGGCGTCGAGCGACTCATATGCTCTCAGTCTCAGCTCTCGCGGCTCGCCTCTCGATTCTCGACTTCTCGTCTCGTTCCGTCTCCTGAGTTCTGTTTAGGGTTTCCGAATCTCTCATTCTCCTCTCCGCCTCTCAGTCTTCTCTCCAGACTCCAGTCTCCGCCTCTTAGTCTCGTCGGCACTCGGCACGAAGGCGTCTACGCTTACGCTTCACACATTCCCTAATCTATTTCACTGTTTGTATCTCGTTTCTCATTGCTATTAGTATTTTTTGATAGTTTAGCTTTAGAAGATGAAGCCATGAAGGTTTTGACTTTGATATTTTGTGTTCTTCATTTTATAAGATTTTGTGATCTTCAATCCCGTATTCGGTATTCCCGTGAAATCTAGGGTTTTTTTCGGGAAATCTAGGGTTTATTTAGAAGATGAAGCCATGAAGATTTTTTTGTGATGCACTTTAATGTTTTTCGGGAAATCTAGGGTTTATTTAGAAGATGAAGCCATGAAGATTTTTTTGTGATGCACTTTAATGTTTTTCGGGAAATCTAGGGTTTATTTAGAAGATGAAGCCATGAAGATTTTTTTGTGATGCACTTTAATGTTTTTCGGGAAATCTAGGGTTTATTTAGAAGATGAAGCCATGAAGATTTTTTTGTGATGCACTCAGCACTTTACTGTTTTTTGTGAAATCTAGGGTTTATTAATGATTTTTCTCTACTCTCTAGCTTTGAGTCCTTGAGGGCTGTCGGGTTGAGGCAGTTAGCCAGTTAGGGAATTACATTTACTATTTTTTTTTCACCGGGTATTTCGTGGACTGTGGTTCACCGTTCACTGGTTCTGTATTTCTGTCATTCTGTTGTTGTTCTGTTCATTTGTGGTTCACTCACTTCACTGGTTCACTGGTTATGTATTTCTGTGTTATTAACTTATTATGCTGCTGCCGTTTATTTGGTTTCTCGGGCCTGAGGACTGAGGGCCTGATGCTGCTTCTGTTAAGTTCAAAATTTTGTTTAGTTCAAAATGCTGTAAGTCTGTATTCTGTAAGACTGTAACCCGTTGCATTTGGCTAAGGGACTTTGCAAGCTTTGTGTGGGCATTTGGTTCAGTTCTCGGGTTTGAGGGCTGAGGGCTGACTGGCTGAGGCTTTGTGTGGGCATTATGGCTGCGGGTTATTATGCTGCTTCTGTGCTTCAGTAGTTCAGTGCTTCTGTTTGGACTTTGGATTATGGAAGTTGAAAAATGAAAATTGCAATGAAGCGATGATGAATAACCTTCTAAGATGTAAGTGGGAATCTTATAAGTGCAAGTTCTAATCATCTTATGTCCTATTATAATTTACAACCAAGTGACAATTTTTATTAACTTAGAATAGCAGATACTATCTTACAATCTTATTCGAAGAATAGATATTAATTAAGTTAATATAAATTGTCACTTAGGATGGTAATTTGTCAATATGACAATATTGATTAAACTTACGTCGCAATGATCTCATTATGAGGTTAAATGATTAATGAATCTGAAGGTTTAATCTGAGCAGAGCAATGTATTTTTTTACATATTTGATTTTGCAAACTATAGAATTGATTTTATTTCAGGTCATTGCAGATTTGAAGCTAGTATTTCGAGGAGACGACTCAGACGAGGGGAGCAATTTGGATGTTCAAATGTTGGAAATCTTTAAAATTGAATTGAGTTTGTAATTTGGTAACTAAAACAAATGTGTAAATGATGTTTGTAATTCGAGTATTGGATAATTTGTAAATTATTATTTCTCTAAATGTATAATTGCTGCTTTGCAGTTTTTCACTTTTTTTGTTTGCACTTTACCTTTTTTTTTCCTGAAATTAGCATTAAAATTACTATATAAACGGATAACCGGGTCGGGTCGGTTCCGGGTTTCGAAAACCGACCTGTTTATAAATCCGGGTCGGGTTGACCCGAACCCGAATAAATTCGGGTCAGTTACGGGTCGGGTCGGGTTCGACCCGTAACCCGAAATTGACAGGTCTACTTCATTTCATTTATGCATTTAAGATTGATCATCATACATTGTATTAGAAATAAATTAAAAAAGTTAAAAAATTTAATTATATATATTTTTTCAAGCATCAATCACCCTGCATAAGTTAATGGGCTGATTAGGATCTGCTCCAATATGCAACACTTAAAAAACAACATCCCTACCCATCTTTCTTAAAGAGACCGGATTCATGGATTTTAAGCGCCTAAGTGATTAGCTGGCTTCTCAATCCAGACTGGGATAAGTTTAGATTTACACTGCATTAGTTAGGTTCGAGCAATTGTTGTTTAGTGCCCAAATTAGGCTTAGGATTCGGGGCAGACCCAAAATAATAAGTCTCCACCCTCTGGGAATATAATCCCCACATTTCTAATAAAATGTCAACTTAAATATAGAAATTTTCTCTCTAAAATATTAAAACCCAATATATGATAGACTGGTGACGCTGAGCTTCTAAAAATCCGGCACTTCCTATATTTTCTCCTTTGACCCGATAAGAACTGTTCAACATTGAGTTTTCTCTTTGAAAACTTTTATTTATTTCCTTGTTTTCTACTTTGTAATCAAAGGGTGAATCATTGTTGTAATTGAGAGTTTTCTTAGGATCACCCCTCCTAGGATTTAATTAACTATAGGGTTTGCCCTGATAAGGATTTGAGAACTACAGATTAAAATAAACTTTTTTTATTTTTAAAAATAAAAAAAAAATCTGGGAATGTAGATTTCTTCTCAAACTCATTTTTAATTTTAAATATACTTGCATAATGCATTATTGTCTTCCCATATGATATAATATTCTCTTTATTATATTTAATCTTAAAAATAATAAATTTTTTAAAATCCGTTCTTATTTTTGGATGTCTTGAAGAATGTTATATTCATCTTCTAAGATAATATATTATTTTCCTTGTTGCATCTAATTAAAAGAATGGTTAGATTTTCAGAACTCTATTTTTATTTTTAAATACATTTTATAGAATTCTATATTCATCTTTTGAGATGATATGTTATTTTTTGAATTATATTTAATTACAGATATATAATTTTCTAAAATCCTATTTTGACATTGAATCTATTGTAGAATATTTTGTTAGTATCTCGAGACAGTATTTTATTCTCAATGCAATATTCAATTTTGTAATAGCAAAACTCCAAATTTGTATTAAAGTATTCATGTCATGATTATTCGGTAAGTTTTACCTTGGCTGTCGACTACTTAATGCAACCCTCCACTTTTTTCATCTAAGACTTGAGACCTAGCAATGGCTAGGGATCATAGAGATCCTGCCTTGCTAGAGAATTGTTAATGTAAAGATGCACAATCAAGCTTTACAAGAGAAGCCTTTGAACTTTTTTTTTTTTTAAATATGTTTGTTGTAAAAATTATCGCTTTGGCATATAACTAATTAATTTATGTTATTTGTTCAAAATTCAAAGATGCTTGGGTAAATGTTCTTTTGTTGGCTGGTGACTGTACCATACTATCCAAGGGCATAATGCCAAATTTGTTTCCAATCTTGTTAT